TCCGGGCTATGTGGTGGATGCGATAAAACCTCCCATCCGAGCTCCCGTAGCTTCTGACGAGTCATCAACGAAGTGTGTGGTCTGACGTTGTCCTGGTGGAACACTACACCCTTCCTGTTGGCCAATTCTGGACGCTTCTGGTCGATCGCCTGCTTCAAGCGGTCCAGTTGTTCGCAGTAGATGGTAGAATTAAGCGTATGGCCATATGGGAGCAGCTCATAGTGGATGATTCCCTCCCAATTCCACCAAACACACAGCAAAACCTTCCTGGCCGTCAATCCCGGCTTGGCTGCTGTTTGGGACGATTCACCGGCCTTCGACCACGACCGTTTTCGCTTTATATTGTCGTATGTGATCCATTTTTCGTCGCCAGTCACCATCCGCTTCAAGAATGGGTCGAGTTCGTTCCGTTTCAGCAGCATATCCCAGGCGTTGATTCGGTCCAGAAGGTTTTTTTGCGTCAAATTATGCGGCACCCAAACATCAAACTTTTTTTTGTATCCAGCCTTCTGCAGATGGTTCAAAATGGTTTGGTGACTAACTTCTATCTCCTGGGCGATGTCACGAGATGCCATATGCCGGTCAAACCCGATGTATTACATGATTTGATCGGTATTTGTCGTCACAGGTCTTCCGTCGGCTGCAATTGGAATGGAATTTCTATAATTTTGGTTGTTGGTCAAATCATGACTCGAAATCTGGCCTTCAGAGCGGCAGTACGCAATGATAACCACTCGGCTATCTGATATGCTGACTGGTCGTACGGATGAATATCATACAACAGCTTCTTTTAAAGTTCATATTCTGGTAAAAGCTCAGGAATGGGAAGGCTTCCACACCAAAAGTAGTAACAGGTGAACAACGAACAAGCTGTATTCAGGTGAGATTAGGTTGTGATGGCTACCGATCTATCGCATCGGATTCACTTAGACCTGACTAAGGCTCATTGTGATGGCATTAAACTTGAACTTTATTTGATCTGTAACTATGATGTCGGCTATCTCCGATAGACCAACCAGTAGTAGGGTCCCAAAATTCCGAAACTTAGCCTACGCAAAGCAAGACACTCGCATAAGAAATGGGTTATTGTTTGCTCCTCCTCATCCTCCTTGCGGCTTCTGCAGCATCTTCTGTAGGTAGCGTCCAGTCTTTCCGCGTGTCGTCCTATCAGACAGTGGCCTGTCAGAACTCCTATTACTTTAGATATTTCCCCTCTTTTTAAGGAGTACATATTATATCTCATGATCTCTTCTTATGCCATGTCGGGCATGTTTGACTGGTTTTGCGGCAGGTTTTAATATCCTTCCACATGTTTTTGTATGTTCATATGTAAATACCTTAAGAAGTAGTTTGCAAGTGGCAAAAGGAATACCAAGCACCGTTCTTTATCTCGCTTGGTTGTACCTTGCCTGGCAAGTCTGACAGTCTGCTCTGTTTGGTAATCTCCTAAAGATTTGGAATTCAGCATAGGCAAGTCCAGCTCTTTTGTTTTATTCATAAACAGCGCAAAAAAGCTATTTTGAAGAAAAAAATGTGTTTTATTTGTGGTTTGATTGAATTTTTGGTTAAAAATTTCCATTTACATAAATAAAATATCACTGAGTTTTTCAAGAGTGAAAGTGACTCATTTTCTATAAATATTTAGTTATGCGCGAAAAGTTTTTCTACTAAAGCTTCGGAGGTGAAGAAGCTCAAGAAATCAATGAACTCATTATCCGAACCGTTCTAAATTGCCTCAACATCACTCAGGCAGATTAGTGTCAAATAATTTTTCTTAAACAGCTCAGACTGAGTGCCGGCATTCGACATTTAACATTATTTAAGACACATACAAAATGACATTTGACCATTTTCAATGCTAAACATAATCGAGCTGAGTTATTTCTTAAACTGTTGCGCTGCTCAAGTGATTGATTTGATGAGTTATTGACTCACATTGGTTCGCATTCATGGCGGTGATATCAATACGTATTAAAAAAAAAAAATTAGAAACAGTAGAAAAATACTCTGGAGTTTGGATGACAATGTTTTTTGAAGACAGTTGTAAATGTGTTTTTCAGATATATGTATGTATGTATGAAAAAAAGAACATAAATGTGTACAAAAATAAGTATTTATTATACTTAGTTTAAGAAATTTATCTTCCTCAATAAGTATGTACATATGTCTGCACCTTGGTGTGCGCATAATTTACGGTCTTGTCGTCTGTCTTTCAAGTTACTTTACCGTTGCTTTAAATCCGACAGTTTTACTTCACTTTTTTTATTTTTGCTTTGTTTTCGTTTTTATAAATGCTCTGATTCGTTAAATTTGCCGCGATGTTGTGAAGTGCAGTCAGAAACCTTTACGATTTCTGGACTGTTAAATTTCGTCTTTGTTATTTTTGTTATTTTTACATTTTATCTGAAACGCTGTTCAGGCGCAACTCAATTTATTTTAATTAAACACAATGAAAATTTAGTGCATGAGGAATTGCACAGACGACACCATCGCGCATGCGCAATGACATTCCAGACACCCATATGCACAGCTATACACGTATGTAGACATATGTGTGTTTGTAGGAGTATGTGTGCTTATAAAAATGTTGAGCATTACTCAATCAAAGTAAATACAATACAACAAAGCGTGAGCAAGCGCTATGATCAAAGTTCATGAACTGCTTATTGGTCCTGCCCCCTCCAGACTTCCATCAAGGGTAAATGGAAGCTTTGCCTGCCTGTCTATAAAACTGTGCCACACTTGCTACACTTTTTTCGGCAAAACTTTCCCGCCCTACCATTTTTATTTACAATTCTACCAATATAAAACAATATACAATACATACATATATGAATTTAAGTATTTGTTTTTTATTGTACATATGTTAAATGTATGTGACATGTACGGTGCGCTTTACTTCTACCAAATCGGCCAGTTGAACTGGTAATTGCATGGTTTATTAAAAAAATATCTCGTTTTGTGGGGGTGTTTTTGGTCAATTCACGCGCGTCATTTTAATCTCATTCATTGAAACAATCAGTCATAATGTTTGTCGACATTTAGTGTGACAGAAGTATAAGAATATGATTATATAAATGTATGTATGTGAATGGAAGTAGCAGTAGCCCAGTGAGAAATTATACTCAAAGTAACTTTGGATCAAGCACCAATTCGATTCGTTTTCATACGGATTGGTCGAAACGAGATAAAGGGTCGGTAGCGCAATTTACTTAAGGGATCTTTGTATCTGCAAATCCTATCGTTTACCGTATGACCTTAGCGTTTTTCAAGCGGACCACCAACATACATATATGAGACTGTCAATTGTTTCACATCAATGGTATTCTCAGAAATTCGTATTCACATTTTTTCGGATAACCAGGCCGAACGAAAAGTCCAGGAATCTGTAACAGTAAAACCGAAAAACGTATAGAACTGCCATAGATCACTTAACGTGATGGCTTAGCAATTCTCTTTGAATTGTTATGGTTGCCTGGATACAATGGCATACCGGGAAATAAGATGACGAAAGAGTTTGCTAGGAAATGCACTTTACTTCCAATTTCGCCATTACAGAAGAGTTTGGGCATGCCGCTCTGCACTTGTAGGTTATTCATTAAAGATTAGCATCTCAAGATGGAGTAGTCTTATTGTGTGTAATTTGGCCGGAACAATTTAGCCAGAATAAAACAGAAGAATGCCTCATGACCTTATCGAGCCAAAAAGAAAGGAGACATCTACAGCTATAGGTCTTCTTACAGGGCATTTCCTGTTGGCCAGTCACACAGGTAAGTTGGGCGGAAGAAGAACCTGAAACCTTAAGACACTTTCTCTGCGACTACCCCGCAAATTGGGGGAGTAGGTTGAAGTCTCTAGGGGCGGCAACTACTCAGTGTTGCAAGCTCCACTCAATGGTTTGATAAGCGGTTGAGTGTTATAAGGATCCTCAGTGGTATCACAATTGGTTCGTTTGACAGTGATCTCCATTACGACGATTTGGCCTGTCAGTAATCTAAAAAAAACATAGGGAATTCTTTTAAACCATAAATGAATGAAGATATTGAATGAAAAAATCACAAAAATTTTATATTTTTATAATTCTTTAAATATTATTACTTCGTTCAATGGCTTTCAGAAATATGTCCAAGGTTGGGCTAGCGTATATTGGCCTCCTGATGTGTCTAACATATTGTAGAACCGTTGGTCTTTTGTAATGGCATATGACAGTCAGTTTTATTGGGATCTAAAGTAGTCGCCGTGACTCTAGTTTCTTAAGATGCGAGGCTCCGAGATATCTAAGATGAGTTCTGCCGAAGAGCTGGACAGAAACAGAGCAAGTTATCTAACGTCTCACTCATGTCCTCCTTCCTGCACTTCCTAAACATGTCACTATTTCTAATGCCCATTAGATTTTTGGCAATAGATTGTAGCCATTTCTGAGAATAAGAGATCACTCTATCACTATAAAGTAGTTTCCCATGGGGTCATATAAGCAAAAAAATATTAAACCGAAAATTTACAAAAGTAAAAAATTACTAACAACAATGCATATTATGAGTTCTAAAAAGAAAACAATTACGGAGCAAATTCAGTAAATGATTGATCTAAAAATAATTGACTCACAGCCGACAACCGTTTAGTAATTTATTTCGTATTTACAAAAATTTAAAGGGATTTCCAGCACATGTGTACTTAAAGGATTACATTTTGAAATTAAATTAGATTAACAAGACACTGAAAAATATATTTGAAAATTCAATATGATTTTATAATCTCTTTCGTTGAGATTTAAAACATATTTTTGCTTCTGACGGTTAATGAAAATGCAAGTCAAGCGCTCTCTCTCCACTGAGGCGATGGTCGAATTCAGGAGTTGAAAAGTATTAACTACAACTATTGGAAGTGACCCAAATACAGATTTTGCTTAACTAAACACTAAGCTTTACTGATATTCATGCTTTACGACTTAACCCCATCAATTATTTCACCTCAATTAATCGAAATTTCTCTCTTATTTTTCAGGTTTAAAAGTATTACCGCTATTAAATAATTTACGGTAAGTTAAAAATTCTTTAAACGCTTTCTAAAGGTAATATACATTATAATATATAAATTATTTATCAAGTGAAATCCTTTTAATCAAAGTAGTATAATTAAAATCGATCAAACGCCATCACGGAGAAATCTGAATCGGTTTCGACACTTTTTCACTGCTTCATATAATTTTCGGATAGTTTAAATTATGAAATATGTGAGATTGACATCTGTTCGTGAAAATTAGTGCCATAGAGGTTAAATAAAAAGATTGAAGTAAAAATCAAATAAAATAAATTATTAAAATTATTATTTGTTTTTGCGGTCATGCTATATATTAATTTTTATTAAGTAAACTACGAGGCCTTGTTGTCACTTCTACCATTTTTTCTTTGTTGTATAACAAATATTCTATTTTTTTTTTTTAATATTATCATTGAACAGAACTATTTTTATTGGGCCGATACCTTTGAGAAACTTTTAATACCAAATAATTTAAATTAAATAGAGGCTACATGATGATAGAAGGGCTTCATAAGAGAGCTCTACGGCATAAGGCCTAGTTATACACCGTAAAAAATATTAATTATTTAGAATAAATAATAAATCAAAATTAAAAATAGGATGTGACCTTAATCATTGAGAAGCCATATAAAACTGCTACTTAAATATAATCTAAGTTGCATATTTATTTTATTTAGAATGAAAATTCTTTTGTGGAGTATTTTTTTCTGATATGTAGGAGAAGAAGCTATTATTGATACAGCTATGTCAAAGACTCATCGTGCATAAAAAAAAACTGTAGAAATGACCTCGTCCTCACTCACTAGGAGAAAACGACCGATTTAATTATGACTCGGTTTCTAATGGAGGGTGATGTATCTCTATATCGTCTAAGCTAAGCAAACGTCAAAAAGGTCTTTAAAATAGTCACACGTCTGAGCTTACGGTGGATAGATTTTTTTTGTCCAATTATTAACGTAAAATTTAATATATACGCTCAGTTGGACAGTCTCAACCCAATTCACGCACTTTCATTCTTCGATTGTCCAATACACAATCCTTCAATTTTTATCGACGATTTCTGGCTAGACGACTGCTATTGGAGGACCTGCGCATTTAGCGCAAATTGAGCTAATGCGACCAAACTGGAATTCAATAAATTAGCTCTTAGCCAAAAAGAATTATTTTTAATTGATATTTTTGCCTCAATTTTTGTTGAAAATTTCGCTTTGGCCAACTTTTAAGGGTTGTCAAGAAGAAAAACAAAAACAACATCTAATTCAAAGGATTGTTTATTTGTCTACCTCTTCTTCTTCTTCTTCTTCTTCTTCTTATTATTATTATTATTATTATTATTATTATTATTATTATTATTATTATTATTATTATTATTCATATTTTTATTATTATTATTATTATTATTATTGTTATTTTTTTATTATTCTCCTCCTTCTTTACTGACGCAGGCACCGCTTACGTGATTATAGCCGAATCGACAATATCGCGCTATTCCTCCTTTCTTTTCGCTGTTTGGCACCAGTTATATATATACCAAGTGAAACCCGGCCGCTCTTCCCCTTATCCTTTCGTTTCGACCAGTGGGTACTGTATTGCATACTTCCAAAGCTGGAGAACTTTCATACATTCGGACGAATGACCTGACCAGTGTAGCTGCTGTCTCTTCATTCGCTGAACTATATCAATTTCACCTCATAACTCTTTCAGAACCATAAATCAGGCTCAAAACTTTTCTCTCGAAAAGACTCAGGGCCGCCTTATCGGATGCCGGCATCGTCCACGCTTCTGCACCATATAGTAGGACGAAGATGATGAGCGGCTTGTAGAGTTTGGTTTTCGTTCGCCGAGAGTAGCACCAGTTGGCAATAGTGCTTCTGAGTAGGATTTCAAAGCTGACATTATTATTGTTTAGCCGCGAATGCGATATTTCATCTTTTCCACGTTCACTACCAGATACATTCGCTTCTCTTCAAGTCCGGAAAAAGCAGAATTGATCGTGCGATTTTAAGGCCTATGATATCAATACCATCGGCATATGCCAGTGGTACAGTAAACTCTTGTCTGTTTAGCCCTACAGCTTTATTATTTTCTCCAGCATAAAATTCAGGAAATCCCACGATAAAGAGTCACCCGGTCTGATATCTCTTGTGGTACCGAACGGCCCAAAGAGGTTCTACCCAATTCTGAATGGGCATGCCATCGTCCAATTATGTATATTCTGCAAAGAAGCTCTTGTATGGCCGTCAATACCAACCGTTTTGTTCTTTAAATGGGTAGTCGCTATTCGTTATTACTAAGTTTATTAACAAAGTTGATGGAGTGTTCAATTATTATTAAAACGCTAAAAAATCTGCTATATCATTGAATTTTTCCCATTTTAATTTATTGAAATTTGTGCGAAAATTAAGAAAATAAATTGAAATTGAAATCAAAAAATGGTACCGCGCACAATATGATGAAAAATGGTCAATTCTTGCCCTCAGTTTTGCTTATGATGAACATTCTTAGTGTTACCGCTATTCATCTCAGAATTCTCAATCAATAGGTCTCGCAGCGCGGCCGCATATGCCTTCGGCGTATAACAGTTGACGAGAGAGTAACGTCAAATTTACAGACTCGTAAAAACTCATGAAAAGCATAAAATTACTCAAATCATAACAATTTGTGGACAACAAAATTTTGTCCGTTACAATATTTGCGGTGGGCTTGTAAATAAAGGTTGCCTAAATGCAACGGCACATACTTATAATCAATTTACAGTGCTTTTAAATTTACTAAGTACGTTAACAATTTAAATTGCAAAAAAAAAAAAACAGAATTTAAGCTGTAGTAAAACAATTTTATTGCCATAACCGCTATAATACTGAACGATTATCTACAGAGCCGAGCCCTGAAAAATATGTAAACTAAAATATGCATATATGCATTTATATGCTAACTTAACGCTTGCTGTTGTTGTTGTTTTTGACAGTTTATGCAAATACTACTTAAATAATATATACATATGTACGTATATATGTGCATACGCCACTAAGGTGGCATTGTCTAAGCGCCACCGGCTGTCAGCAGCAATTTGATTGAGATTAAGCCTTTATTGTTTCCTTTGAATTCAGCCGAAGGTAATTTTGTCTTACTACCCCATCGAAGTATATGTCCATATATTATATATGTAGATATGTATATGTATGTTTTGCATGTGATACACAGCCACCCAAATACAATTCTGAAAATTTCAAATTAAATGTGTAAATTGTCATAAAATATTGCCGTTGACTTTTTATCTTAATTTGCATACAAATTAAGAGACGGCAATTAATGTTTATTGGTCTTTATGAACGCATATTTATGTATATACATTGCGAAAATAATTAAAAATTTTACAATAAAATTCTAAAAAAAAAAAAAATAAATTGGAAAACAATAAAAAAATAAAAACTAATAAAAGGAAGTCATGCATTTTAGATTTTTATTTCTTTATAAATTTACATATGTATAAATGTATGTTTGCATATCCTTGCAAAGACATTTCTATACTCTGCACTTCCACAGTCCGGAAAATATAGTATAATTCTGCTGATTAGTCCATAGCACTCAGCTTCAGTAACGCATATTTTGCCTCGATCGTGGCTAAAATTAATCTTTTTATTTAAAATTCAATATGAAGTCCCGCTTATTTTGAGTTAATGTGTCTTTCCCGAAAATCTTGCATATAAAAATCTAATGTAAACATCCGGTATTCTCTTACAATTACCGACCTATTGGATTGTCAGATTGTTTCTATGGTTCCTGCAAGGCGAATTCATAAAATGTGCAGTTGTCACATCATATGTCTGCTTGTTCTTCCTTCTATTGCAATAAATTACACAAACAAAATACATGAGAAATGGGTTTTGGCCCTTCGAATGTTCGTTTACAAAACCAAAATACATTGAAGGATTTTCGTTTTTGATTTGCATGGCCGATGGTAGAACCCAAAAGTTATAAATTGAGTAAATAAAGTTATGATGAAAAAAAATCTATAATCCATATTTTATGCATTCAGTAAGTATGAGCAGTAGGCAAGTGTTGCAGGGGGCATGAAGTATATTATAATTAGCAGATTATGGTCAGAAACAATTATAAAATAATTTTTTATCCTTAATAAATAAATTCTTAAACAAGCGTAAGTGTATCTTACAAATGTTGAGTTGACGCTTAAAAATCAATGAATGAAGTTCACTAAAATAATCAAATATTCAACGAAATGTGAAATCTCCAGTGATAAACATTTAAACCCAAGCCCGATGCCAGCTGGCTGTGTTGTCTTTTTTTAATATTTATGTGGCCAAATAAACGCTCTAAACGATGTCAGTTACAATATTTACTGGCAAAAGCACAGGCAAATTGAACACAGATCTATTTGACATTTTTCAGCGCTTCTAGTGCTTCAAGCAATGCTAAAGTTGGCCATTTCTTAAACGTTCCAGTACAGAATATAACTCTGTGTTAACTAGTCTCACATATAAGTACTTCAAAAATTGATAGCTTTCGGGGGAGTATCGAAAATATTCCCCACCCAGATGTGCCTCTACCTTACGTACTCTAGGCTTGCTGTCTCTCTTGGCTACGTGAACGATTGACATTTTCAGGCGAAACGTCGCGTTGCCTACATTCGATGCCACAAATAATACTTCACATGGTTAATTAATTTATTTTCATTTAATTAAGGGGCACACCTAGAGTAATGGCCTAAAAAAAGGTGATTTTTGGGAAATTTTATTAGAAAAAATACTTTATCAATTATTTAAAAATTTTCAGAATATATTTATACATGTTTCAAGAATATACAGTGAAATTTTTGAAGAAAAAATTTTAATATTTTTTAAGTTATAGTCGATCTCCAACGGCGAGAAAAAAGGTCCTTCACTGCTGCAGTAATTCCGGCCTTCTCCGTGGATGAAATCTAAAAAAAAAATTCTCGTTAAACTAGATAATATTGTCTGTACAATGACCAACGATAAA